TTTTTTTTTTTTTTTTTTTTTTTGGTGGTACCGGGGATCAAACTCAGGACCTTGTGCTTGTGAGGCAGGCGTGGTGCCACTGAATCCACAGCTAAATCCTCAGCCCCATTTCTTACTATTTTTAAACAAAAAATACAAATCTAAACCAGGCTTGGAGGTGTGTACCTATAATCTCACCACTCTTGGAGTCTGAGGCAGAAAGATTATAAGCTTGAGCCCAGTCTGGGCAACTTAGTGAGATACTGTCTCAAAATAGAAAAGAACTGGGATGTATATAACTCAGTGCAAAAGCACTGGATTCAATCCCTGGTAATGCTAATGATGAAAATGGTAATGATAATAACAGTTAGTAGAATTTGTTATTTGATTTATTTTTATTGTATCACACTGATTTAAAGATTAATGGACTATTAGTTCATCTTGTGAGTTTTCAGACTCTACTGTTACCGTATTGTTTATGTTTGCATTGGAGTAGTTTAGATGTTTTGCCCAGAAGAAGCAATAAAGTCTCCTCCTTTCATTCTTACTGTCTCTTTTCCTCACGTCAGTTAAACTGGCTTTACTATGCAGTGTTAATTATCTTTCTCCATTAGCTTTAATGAATGCCTGTTGTACTGTTTTTAAGATAGTCTTTCAGACCTCGGCCCCTTAGGAGTTGTGACTGTGTCTGCTTCACTTTTCATACTCAACACTTAGAGTAGTACCAGGAATATTATTTCGTTAGGAGTTACTTTAGTCATTAGGCTCTGAATGTGGATAGAGTTGCACAATAAAGTTCAAGCTCCTTTCAAAAACACAGAAGACACCATCATGGCAATCCTTTCACTTCATAATTGTAAGAGAGAGGGTGAAGCCATTGGTTTCTAGGAGTGGCAAGCAGAAATAGATGCAAAGAACCACAATCGGTTAGTGGCAACTATGGTACAGAAAAAGAAGACGTCGTGTCCGCTGTATTTCTTAGGAGCCTCACTGTCTCATCATTGAGACACATTTCCCAACACCCACAATTTAAAGGAGGAAAGGTTTATTTGGACTCACAGTTCTTAGAGATTTCAACCTATAATCAGCTGGCTCCCAGGCCACAAGGGCAAGATAGAAGGGCCCCTGTGGAAGAAAGCTGCTGGGCTGCTCAAGTCATGATAGCCAGGAAGCAGAGAGAGAAGGGAGGAGCTGAGGAGAAAGATAAACCCTTCCAGGTCACTCATTCAGTGACTCAGCTCTTCTGACCAAACCCCACCTCCCAGCTACACTTTGCAGCTGTGGTGTCCACATGATTCAGCCACCCTCTAAAAGCCCTACCTTTAGGCACACAGGTGTTTTTTTATTTTTATTTTTTTGAAGCAAAACATTTATTGGTACATTTCAGATATACATAACATCCGTCATAGGGAATTTGTACCTATACATGATGTATCTTCTTTTTTTCCCCCCATTCCCTTCAACCCCTCTTCCCTTCTTTATTTACAAAAGCTTTGTTTCCATTTTTTCCTTCTATTCTATTTCTTCTTGTCTCCTTTGCTTTTTCTCTTGCACCTTCCTTGTTCCCCTTCTCATTTGAACATTTTCTTTTCATCTCCCAATATTTATTATACATTTGGGTCCTTATTTCCACTTTTCGTTTCTCACATTAGAGAAACAATGCAGTATTTAAGCGTGTGTGTCCCAATTATCTCAAGAGTATGGTCTCAAGGTGCATCCATTCAGCTAGAAATGTCTCAAGCTTATCCTTCTTTATGGTAGAGTAGCACTCCATTGTACAAAAACCACATCTTTATCCATTTGTCATTTGATGGGCATTCAGGCTATTTCCAAGATTTAGCTATTATTTTTGTTGGTTTGTTTTTGTTTTTTGAAACAGGGTCTTACTGTGTACTTCAAGGTAGCCTTAAACTCACAAGGTAGCCTACACTGGCCTCAAACTCCTGCACATCCTCCTGTCTCAGCCTGCCACGTGCTGGGATTATAGTCGTGTTCCACCACACCCAGTTTGAGCACATGACAGGTTTTGGTTTTGTTTGTTTGTTGTTTTTGGTATGGAGGATTGAACTTGGGACCTTGCACTTGCAAGGCAGGCAGTGGAACCACTGAGCTAAATCCCTGGCCCATGCATGACAGTTTTTGACAGTGTTCTAGATCTATACCGTAACAGTGTATACTTGGATTTATTTCCTCTTCACTCACTGTCAATACCTATTTAGCACCAGGTCCTAATTTACCTTTTTCTTAATTACCCTTTTCTTGCCCCATTTCTGTTACTCTTTTACGTAAAATTCTCCTTTCTGACCTGAAACTGCTAACTAGACTTCTTAATTCCAGATTTGTACCTGCAGTTACTTTTTCTCCTGCCACTGGTAAAGTAATAACTGAAAACTGTGATCACATAGGATTGGGGTATAACTGCATAATAGAATACGTGCTTAGCATACATGAGGCCCTGGGTTCAATCCCCTGCACCAAAAACAAATAATAAGACAGCAGCATGCCTTTGAGTAATACCTATATACCTTTAAGATAATGTGCAAGACCTTTAGCTATACTTTCCTGCCATATAATGCCTGCCCACCTCTTTAGTTTTAAACATTACAGCCCTATATCTTTGCTCCTATCTCTTAAGTTATCATATATATACACACATGTATACAGGTATATAATAAATCACAAATTGTTTATGTTTCAAGAGGTGATCAAGGGTTTTCTCTTTGTGAGGTCTTTGTATTTCAATTTTTGGTTAGAGTATGTTTGAGCCATTCCTTTCTCTGTGAGTCTGCTTTTCCCTGCACTCTTACTACTTTGAGGGGGCTCCCTGTACCTCTCCTACTAAACTGCAGGTTCCTCTAGGGCAGCAGCCATGTTCTGCTGCATTTGAATAATTGTTCTAATATTCTTATTCATTCTCAACCAGCTCCTCTCTACCATTCTTGTTATCCTTTCTTTACCCTTAATGAACACTTCTCAAAACTAATTGCAGAGACATAAAGCCTAACAAGTATAATAAGAAAAATGAAACAGAATATGTGTAATGGAATTTATTTCTAGGTATTCCGGCTAGTCAGCATACCTTAACATTTTTCTGGAGCTTTCCCTGTGCATGCGTGCCTGTGTGTGTGTGTGTGTGTGTGTGTGTGTGTGTGTGTGTGTGTGTGTGTGTGTGTGTGTGTGTGTGTGGAGAGACAAGACAAGGTCTCACTATGCAGTTCAGGCTGCCTTGAATCACTATGTAGCCCAGACTGGCCTTGAACTCTCAGCAATCCTCCTGCCTCAGCCTCTGAGTGCTGGGGCTATATATATAGACATGCATCACCATCCCTTGCGTACACTATTATTTTGAAAGTCTATTTTTTGTTGTTGTTATTTTTGTTACATGTTGCAGTACATGATTATATTCATCATGGGGAGTTGGTACACGTACATAATATATACTAATTTTTTTATTTCCTTTTCCCTCCCTCCATCTCCATCTCCCTATTTCCTATTGTCCATCTTATATTTTGCTCTTTAGCAAAATTCATTTTCTTAAATTGCATTTTTAAAAATGGAGAAAGTATTTTTCAAATTTTGTACACTTTAATAATTTAAGCCACAACAAAAATAAGTGTAGCATAACACCCTTAAATATATGTCTGCTTAATTTTAGGAAGACCTGCAGCCAATTAAAGAAGAAAGGTTTCCAGCAGTTCACAAACCTATTGCCGTTGGCTCTCAGCCAGTGCTCACTGTTGGAACAACTCACATATCCAAACTCACAGACGACCAGCTTATTGAAGAATTCCTTAGTGGCTCTTACTGCTTTCATGGGGTGAGAAGTGAACCTTCAGTTTAAATATTTACCTTTGAACTTTTATTTGTCAGTTATTTAATCAGTGGGTGTTAACAGCATTGCTAAAGATTCGAGTCTGTAGAGAATTGGCAGGATGTTGCTCATCCCAGTTGACATTTTCTCTCTGTACCTGTTATATTGCTGCATCTTTATAATCTGTAGCCATTGTCTTCCCTTTATACACAAGGTCAAACTTGACCTTTCCTATGGCAATAATGTGTAACTCTGGTTGATTGCTGAAATGGGCATCAGTGATTATATGACCTATAGTTTGGTTCTATAGCAATTACACCTGAAATTCAAGTTAATAGCTCCCTTCACAAAAGTAAAATTTGCCTCTACATAATAGCACCAATGGGAAATACACTTACAAGTAAGATTTTTTTGTTTATTTTCTCAAAGCAGTGCAACGTTCTTTATATTTTTCTCTTTTAAGTTTCTCAGTGACTTTTAGTTTTCAACTATACTATTGCAATTACAGATCATAAAAAGTGTACATATATTTCTATCATCATGTGGCAATATTAAATCAAGCCTAAATTTCTTTCTCTGTGTATGACTTGATCTATTTTATTTTCTTTTAGGGTGTTGGTTGGTGGAAATACGAATTCTGCTATGGCAAACATGTACATCAATACCATGAGGTGTAGTATAACATTTATATATCATTCTGTCACCATGTGAATTAAAAATTTTTGTTTGGCTTTTGTGGTGCTGGGAATGAAACCCAAGGCCTTGTACATGCTAGGCAAGCACTGTACCGCTAAACTACATCCCCAGTTCTGGGTTAAGTTTTTTAAATCTTTTGTGGATAAAAAGGAAGGAAATGGACTTCACTTTTAAGTGTAAAATAATTTTAATATGGAAGTATGAGAAACCAGAAGACCTGATGTTATGACCTACAGTCAGTCTTCTTGAAGTGACACTTCTTGAAGCTCCATGTTTTTCTGTGGCTTTGAACCTGCTACAGTCATAAACTTTTGTCTGTTCCTCTTCATCTTTGATTAGGAGTTTAGTCATTCTTATAACTCATCTTTAAATTAAGAACATAAAATGTGAAGATGGTCCATTAACAATAAAATTAGTAAATTTGGATAAATGTAGCAAGTTTCACAGCTAAAAGGTACCATTTCAAAAATTTCAAGATATATTATAAGCTTTTTATTCTTTCTTTTATTATGATTTTATAAGTCAAATAACATATTCTCCCGCATTGATTCAATCTTCTCACATTCTAAAGTTTAAATTCCAAACATTTTTTTGTTAACAAAGTCTGTTTTGCTTAGTAAAAGTTAAACTGCTGGACATTGAAGACAAACTTTAATCAGTAAATATTGGCCTGGCTGTTTCAAAAGGCTCTTCATTCCTTAAAAGAATAACAAGTGATCGCTTCTCGGCCTTTTGGCTAAGATCATGTGTAGAATAACAAGTGATTAGATAGTACTATAGTTGGTCCATACGAGATGTTTTGAGCTGGTCTTAAATTCCAAATGAAATCATAGTAAGACAGATCAATTCACCTTATTGAGGTGTCAGTAGGCTTTTTGTTCTTCACTTAAACATGAGAAGTTTCATTTAAGCATATTTTCTTTTGTACTGCTTTGCACTTTTTAAAATAGCATTTACTAATAAGGTACTAACTGTTGCTCAGGTATATGCCCAGTAACTTTTTTTAATTGAATAAATATATGCCAGAATTTTAAAATAAAAAGTTAATTTCTTATATGCCATCATCTCACTTTCCCAAAATAACTGCTGTTAACATAGTTAACTAAGAAAAAAATTGATATACCTAAATGTTGGTATCCCCTTCAATTTCTGCAGATTGGGTTGTGCACTGCTGTGCACTTGTTCTTGTCACTTAGTGTCTTGGAGATCTTTCCGTGTTGGCAACAACCAACCTTATCCTTTTCGGCATTAATGGGGTTATGTCTGTACCTAAAATGTACATTTTTCCCCAGTACTAGAAAGTGAACCAGTAGCCTTTGCTCTGAGCTCATTCTCAACCCTTCTTTATTTTTTGAGACAGGTTCTTATTAAACTACTAAATTGTCCAGGCTGGGACAATCGTCCTTCCTCAGCTTCCAGAGGCAAGGGAATACAGGCATGTGTTACTGTGCCCCAATACTTTTAGTGTATTAACTAGGCCACTGTGGATGAACCTTTAAATTATTCCCAGTTTCTGCTAAGGTTAATATTTTAGTGACCATTTTAAAATACTTGTTTTGGAACCCTTTTGCCTGTATGTCCATACGATACACTTCTAGCATTGTACATTCCTGGTCAAGGAATATGCATACTGGAAAATTCTCTTCCAGAGGGCTAGTAATTATAGTGGCTGTTTTCCCTCATAATTAACAACAGAAGGCTTCATCTTAATTTGTCATCTGACCTAGAACTTTCTGAGAGATGCTGCTAGGTATTTGGTGGGGACAGAAAAATAATAGAGGCAGTCCTGATATGGAGGACTCCTGTAATCCCAGCACTTGGGAGGCTGAGGCAGGAGGATCACTGTGAGTTCAAAGCCAGCCTGGGTTACATAGTGAGTTCAAGACCACCCTGAACTTCATGGCATGACCCTGTCTCAAAAAATAACAACTAAAAATAGTAACTGGAGCTAGGTATGGTGGCACATACTTGTAATCCCAGCACTCTAGGAGGCTGAGGCAGAATTGCAAGTTTGAACCCAACATGAGCAACTTAACCCTGTCTCAAAATTTTAAAAATACATACATATATAT